TTTGAATATCTTGCCAAGAAAATTGCATAAACTTCTCCAAGCAGGAGTCAAGACTAACTCAAAAGTATCCCTCTCCAGATCATAGGACATTCCCAACAAAAATTACAATGCTGGTTTATGATTTTGTTCCTTTTCTACAATAACGGATAAAAAAAGACCCTACAGATTTAAAATACCGTCATGAAAAATATACCCAATTAATTGGATTATGTTATTCATTTGTACATAAATGAGAATAATTGGTTTAATTAAAACTAATATTTGTTTCTTTTCTTTTGCTTTCACTCACTGATACCATATTTAGTTTTAAAATTAATGGCAAAATACAGCAAGGCACTAAGGATGCAATTATTGCTTTTTTATTTCTGAACATTTAACTTCACAATCAAATTTACTTATTATTAAACCAAATTGGCCATATATTACAGATTCTTAAATTGACATGGCCATTTATGATACATCAGTATTTTCTACCAGCTTCACTCATAATGGAATTTTTGGCTAGATCTGCCACATGTACATTACATTCAAGCATTATGGCAAGCCAAAACCCCCTCCTACCAATTAGCATTGCCAGAAAACCACAGATGGCCATATGTACGATTTGCTAGCTTATCATACAAACCAGAGTGCTCCATTTGGAACAAGCCAGAGAAAAAAGCTACGCAAGAGATCAGAACAATGTCTTTCAAACACAACCATGTCTATATCCAAAGTATCTTCACAAACAGAATACCCTTTCTGTGGATACAGCTGATACTGTTGTCTCTATAATCAGAAACTTCTCAACGCTGCCAGTTTGATTTACAAATGAAATGGTTTATTGGATTCTATGCAGAAGGAAGCGCTGTTTGCATAAATCAATGGTATTTATGTAAACAAACAGTTTATTTTGTAAGCAACATATTTATTTCTTTAGAAATATGTAAAGTTAGCATATGGAAATTCATCCACTCTATAAGTAGTACATCTGTGTAATTGGTTATTTTTAAACAACTAATGCCCAACAAAACAATACTGCCTCATATTGATCAGTTGAAGCTATTCCATATATATGAAATGCCATGTTCCATAAAACATTTTTACTTTATCATCCAATTTTTAAAATTCTGATGTATACCATTCAGGATTAATCCAAGAAGCACCATTTTTATATTGATGGGGTGCAGGCCACTAAGTAGTGTTCAACTCATTTTGAATGCAAGTCACCTGAGTGGAACGAACCCCAGCTGATTTTGAAACAGTTCTGTCAAGTTTATAACAACTATTCAAATCACTTTGCAAATGATTCATGTTTTGAATGCAATGTGATTTCAAAACTTTTTATATATAGTAAACTATTAGAAGAAAATATCCTTCTGAGTTCAGTTCCAAGTGGGGGAAAAAGACACTGGAAACATGGAAGCTGTTTGGAAAGATGGTTTAATGGTGGACAGGATCACATGCTTTGGAGCTCCTGAATGAAAAAGGGAAGAGATGCTGAGAGTCCCTGGGTTTTATGCCCTCTGTTGGGATTTGAATTCGAGTTTGTATTCTGATTGGTTGTCAGACTCCCATGGGGCCATGTAGGGGCAACTCTATAGGTTGACCTGAGTCCCAGGCTTGGTTGAGCCTTGCTGGATGATGATATAATGAAAGGACTTTGGGATTCCTATTATGGATCTACCTGAAGGAGGTAGATCTTTGTTATGTAGAATAGACTGGCCCAGGCCTTAATGGCCCATTAGCAAAGGTAGGGGGGCTCAGTTACTGTCTCTCTGAGTTTCTACTTTTCTTTTAGGGGAAATATTCTGGCTTTTTAATATATACTCAAATATTTCATTTCTCTAGGAGAGAGGTGGGTTTTAACTTCCAACAAAACTGTACATTTTCTCATGAGGTAATGAATTTGACATCCCTGTTTACATTTTTAAATTGCACATTAATTTAGCTGTGCACAATGAAGACAAGAAAATAGAATTCCGAAACTGAAAATAGTAATTTTCGTTAGACCAATTTTTTTTTGAAATTGTCACTTTCTAAACATGATCTTCATATGTTACTATGAAAAGGGTATGCGCATGGCAAGAATTGAGAAAAGTCATAATAAGATTTAAAATTGAAGATGCAATCTATTTTGCTTGCAACAACTGCATTGCAATTTATAACTGACATTTCAATAGATTCACTCACCAGTGATATATTTATATAGTATTATCGCAAAAAGGTACATTATGACAAGATTAGCAACGTTCTTAAAGTGATGATTATTTAAGAATCATAGTGTTACCTAAGGCAATTACCATGCACACTTTTAACATCTACTGGGAAAGATCTGAAGGGAAAATAATTGACTTCTCTAATTTTACCCTTGATAATTATAAAATAGCTCTGCATTTCATTGTAAGCCAACATTTTCACATGTAATTGTCAGCCTTGATAGAAACAAGATAAATGCTTTGCAGAAAACCTCTGACAATTAGCTATAAGATCATGATACAATTAATTTTGGACTTATAGTGCAGAGTAACACTTGGAATCTTAGATACATATAATATACTATTTGCATCAATAATCAATAAACAAATCTGTGCTTATTTGCTCTCTGTAAATTGTCATGGCTGGCCTGAATTCACATGATGTCGTGACTGTAATGAATTCACAAATAATTTAAATTTATTTGTTAAACCTTGTTAACAAATTGCAAAATATAGGGATCACATATGGTATAGTAAGATTTTAAAGTTCAGAAAACTGCATGAAGAACTTTCATGAATTTATCCTGCAAGTTTTCTCCAAGTACCCTAAAAAATCAGCCTTGTATCTTTAAGATACAAGTATTTTATTAACAAGTATTTTATTTACAGTCAGACATGGATTAACAGCCATTTTAAAGGTAAATTCCAACGTGAGCAATTCATAATAATGAACAAAAAATGATAAGATGTGTTTTTTGCCTCCTAATGCAGATTCTATTTTTCTATATTTGTCTAGACAAGTAATCCTCTACTTACCACCACAATTGAGCCCAAAATTTATGTTGCTAAGCAAGAAATTTATTAAATGAGTTTTGCCCTATTTTATGATTTTTCTTGCCACATTTCTTAAGTGAATCACTGGAATTGTTAAATTAGTAACACGGTTGTTAAGCAAATCTGGCTTCCCCATTGGCTTTGCTTGTCAGAAGGTTGCAAAAGGGGATCAGGTGATCCCAGGACTCTGTAGCAGTGGTAAATGTGGGTCAATTGCCAAGCATACAAATGTGAATCATGTAACCATGAGGATGACGCAACAGTCATAAGTGTGAAAAATGGTCATAAGTCACTTTTTTCAGTAATGTTGTAACATCAAATAGTCACCAAGTGAACTGCTGTAAATTGAGGATTACTGTAATATGTAATATGCCTATAAAATTTTCTTAACCGGGGACAGCATGGTATCAGTTTTTATCTCTAACAGGTCCCTCAATTAAGATTAATGTTCTGTAATGATTATAAATAATGGAAAGGCAAGCAGAATGCAAAGATATTAGAGGAGCATTAAAAGGTAACAAGTGTAACTTGCAGATTTATGACTATCTGAAATGTTATATAAATAAACACTTAAAAATTTGCGTCTAGTTTCATAATTTCCTAATCCTTGGGATAGTATAATTTGAATTCTGTCATATATGTACATATACATATACATATACATATACATATACACAGACAAACCCAATACACAAGCCAGATGATGGCAGATGAGATTCTGCCGAAATGTTGCTACAACTTTAAAAGCACAACTATAATGTGGGAAAATACCTGAACAAAGCTGAATACCATACATATACATACATTCATTCATACATACAACATACATTATATTTTATTACTGTATTAATCTATTTTCTGAAGTAGCATAGAGTTTAAAATAGCTTGAGAGTTGGTAGCAACTGAAGTATAATAAACCTAAGTAATTAAGAAAGTAAATAAATAAAATTAAGTTAATATAACTAGCTGCATGTATACCTTACATGGCAGAAAAATACCAGAGGAAAAACTTTTGGTCTTTAAAAACATAATTGTACAATACATGCAAACAATAAAAAGGTATCTTTTACAATATCAAATCAAGCATTTTACAGTTTATATTTCATCAAATTTTTAAGACAGGAGAGAATGAGCTGATACAAATACTGAGTGGATTCTACTTAGGTTATATACCGTAGAAGTTTCTTAAGCTTTCATTTGTCTAAAGTAGGAACAAAATGATAATATGTTTTGGCATAACTTTCAGAACAAGAAGCTTAATTAGTTGAGAAGTCACATAATTCTGTAGGTCACTGTGTTTTAAATCTGAATTGTGACAAGCTAAAAATAATTACATCTATTTGCCTAGAAAAAATATTTGATACAGAATAACATAAAGCATTTCTACTTTATTGAAATCTATGGCTATTCTTCTAATTTTAAAAACAGATTTGGTAAAAGAGACAATTCACAAAATACATGTTTGACAGACATGCAAAGAATATGTTTATAGACTATAACTTAGCTATATTGAATGAAATAGGTAGCATGGCCTGTGATTCCTGTGATCATTCTTGTTATAAGAAATCCTATTCTACTAATGAATATTTGCTGCCAGCCTATCAGTGTTCACTTGTTCCACATGTTTACACTTTTTCATGTTTTGAAAAGATGCTCAATGAATCAAAACTGCTATAATTCATTTACCTTTAATTCACTCTTTCTGCAAGGACAGATCTTTCTGCTAACCTCACTAGTGATTCTTTGGGAATCCGTATGAGAAAGAATTTCATAGTACACATTTTATATATTTAGTTCATCTGACACTTCATATCTAGTAAAATTTCAGATGGGGAGAGGGGGATGTATGAACAATGTAAAGTGACACTGAATGCCTCAAAGCACTACGATTTCTACAAAATAAGCTCACAAAAATCAGCAATTGAGCAATTTTTCAAAATAAAACAGATATAAAACTGCTCTCATTTAAAATAACAGAAATCACATTACCTTAGTATTTTGCAGCCGAGCAAGACTTGTGCAGGCATTCGCTAGAAGAAAATCACCACTCAGGACAGCCATTTTATTTCCAAATTGCATATCTTTCAATGCTCCATCTGAGGATGTCAGTTCACTAATGTTTACTATTCCACGATGCACAAGGAAAGCTGTGTGGATCAACTCTGTGATCTCTGCAAGAGTTCGTTGGCTTTAAAGTAAAGATCAGACATAATACAATTAGTTGCAGAACCATTGCATAAGTCACATATATTATTTTTTAAAAAAAAACAACAATTTTGAACACAACTGGGTATTTTATCAGTGCAAATATAACATTCACTCTGTTTGGACCTATTAGGCCAATGATTAATTTTGATTACAATTTCTATCTGAAGCAGAATATTTATTTCTTGGAAAACTTGAAAGAGTTTAAAATGTAAATCCTTCCTCCGTTCTTGAAATGTGGGTTGACAATTTTAATGCATCAATAATTATTTAACAAAAAAAAAAGTGAAGGATATAAATTGACCAAAATAGTCTTAGGGGCGTATCATCATTTTGTATCCTATTTCAGCAGCAGTAGTATTGATTCAATAGCTAGGCTAGCATTGCCATATATCACATTATGGAGGCATACATGGTAGCATGGGACACAAACATTCTAATCATTGTCAAACTTTACTGTCTTCCAGAAGGAAATAGAAATATAAGCCATTTATATTCTAGAACAGAAAACTGCGTTCTGCTCTAATCCAAGGTTTAAGGAAGGGTTAATATATTCTACTGTTGATGTGAATGAGAGGGAAAAGACAGAGACTAATAAGGCTCCTGCTGTCACTGTCAGGGCAGTCCTCCCAGGAAAATGTCCATATCAATTCAACTTATCAGATGGACAGCTGATCAACATTAAACAGATTTGCTCTGGGCAGATTGAGCTGAATACCTGCCATGAATCACAATGAGAGCCCTCTGGTCTCAGCAACTGAGATCTGCCATTTCTGACTTCAGAAGATCCAAGGGCATATGGAGATCTCTAGTGATGAGGACATAAAGCTGCAGCTTCCTCAACAGATAGCTTGTTTTTCCCAAAGGTACATATTAATATCCTGAGGAGAACAGGCTCTTTTTTTTAATCTGAAACATCACCCTTCATTATCCAACCCAAATTACTACTGTTCTTTTTTCCCCCCTATTAAGCTTTTAATGAAGACATTTTTTTCACTGTTCAGCTCATCATACAAAACTTCAACAATACATAAACGTCGTATTTTCTAACTCTCCCTTTCTATTTTACCCTTCCTTTCCGTTACTCTCCAGATAGCATCTATAACATTTAGCTAGCCACATTAGAATTCAGGTTCCTTTATTTTTAATTGAAATAGCATAGAATTCTGGTACAGTGAGAAATTATTAAATAGCCCTAGGCAATTTCCAAGGATTTGAACATCTCCTAGAGAACATGAGATTTTTTTTCCCGGCACTTCAATTCAGATTAATGTTTAAAGGAAAACATTTCCATATAAATTCTGGAGAATTTAATGCATCCACCTCCAAATTAATTATAAAACAATAACTTTTAAAATCACCAATATAAAGTACGGTACAAAACATGTAGACTGAGAGGGAATTTTATTTATTTAATCAAGGAAGGCTAAGAGTACATTATTTATAGAGCTTTTAAATGCAGGCCAATTCTATGGAACATGTGTAGAAAAATAACTGTAAGCAACTCCTCTTTCTCAGTCACACTGCCCAGTAATTGGAGAGCTGAAGGCAAAAACACCCAATACAAGACACAATTATTTCACATGTGTTATGACATCATTGCCCAAAGGATGTAAATTAGATATTATTTGCATTGTGTCATAAGAGACATGATGGCTCTTTTCCCTTTATCCCATCCACAAATACCCATGGTTGAAGGCAATATGTTCTAGCCTACCTTGAACGCTAGAAATCCAAAGACACACATTCTCTCAGAGAGGGAGGGAGGGGGAGGGGGAGAGAGAGAAAATGCTCATTGGAAAGGCAAAGGGGAAGTCCAAGAAAAGCTGTAGGATGTTATGTGGAATTGACTCTTTTCTTCTACCTTCTATTTATTTATTATTTATTAAACAAATTTATACAGCTGCCCAACTTACACATAGGTAACTCTGGGCAGAGTTTCTACAATTCTACAATATCTTCCAAGTTTACAACTCTGGACATTGGTTGTAAAAGAGAAGAAAAAATAGGTTATAAAAAAACCAGGAATAAAATGTTTAATCCAAGACAAGCTTTGCTGAGTTCATTAAGGCATTCATAATTAATACACAAACATAATATTGCAATCTTATCAAATTATTTCTTCACAAATAAATAATGAAGATAACCACAAAGAAGATATTGTAGATTGAAGTTAACTCATGGCACTAAAAAGTAACATTAATAAATATTGCTTAAATCAAGAGTGGTCAAGAATGGCCATCTGACTGACAAAGTGGCGACTATCACCCTTTCTTTCAGTATCAGTATTCAGTCCTGAAACATATTTAAAGGAAGAAAAGTGAGAGAGAGCAGTGGTTCCTTTCTTCATCACTAAACAGTCAAGATACTGTTCATACATTTTTAGAACAAAGCTACTAATTCAGTTACTCTTATAACAGCCTTTTGCCTCTTGCACCGATTTCATTTCAAAATTAATAACTGTCAAATATTTTCACTCTATTCCAATGTAGAATAAACAGTTCCGTACTGATACCCATCAAATCATTCCTAAACATTATTTCCACAGGCAACAGCATTTGCCTGGTATCCTGCTATACAATAAATGTGATTTAATATTTGTAAACAGAGAGCCCAAAAAATTGTATGTTGAAGAAACATGGCAAGAAAATTTAAACACAAATGAAGTCATAGCTAATTCTCAAATTTAAAACTATTGGCCATGACAAAAAAAAGTAAAATCAAGTGTGACTCATTTAACAACCACTTTTTGCTTAGCAATGGAAATTCTGGTCTCAGCTGGGATTGTAAGTGGAGGACTACCTATATATAAAATCAAATAATGTAGTTCTTAGTGGAAGTAATATATCATGATAAAAAGGAGAGCAATAACTCTTTTAGGCAAAATGTTTACAATTCCTCTGTTTATTAAAAAGTTTTCAAGCTAAAGCCTGATGTTACTGGAAATTCCATGAAAATAATTCATACTTATTAACATTTATGTCCACTTAATCATTGTTATGACCTTGCTGAGTTTGTGTGCGTGGAGAGTGGAAGCCATTTATGGACCTGGCCGAACATAAGGCATCGCGACCCTAGGTGAGGTGAGACCGGTGGAGGAGCCTGGAAGAGCCAGCAACCCAAGTGCTGCTAGCTAGTTCGCCTCACCCCCTCCTTCAGTGCACTAAGGATAGGCACACATGCACTGAACAAAATGATTAGCAATCTAGGCTGTCAGCACTACATTGTGTCTAGCATGTGTAGATTTCACTGACATGTATGCCACCCGCTAAACAAATAAAAAATTGTAATGACCAGAAGCATATATAGTAATCCAAGTGGAGTTTCACTACCGATTGCAAACATGGACGTTTTCTGTCCTTTGCTTTCTATGACATGCTTAGTGGAGGTTCCTTGCCATCCATATTCAGATGCAATTAGTTATTTAATGAACTTTTCAAAAGGCAAACAGCTGAACTGGGGCATTTGTATCAAAGCCGGGGTTTTTATTATTAATACTGTAAAGGAAACTGCTGGATATTTTACTATATTTAAGGTATGCCTGCTATTAGATAATTTAATTTAACAAAGAAAGTTAGTAATAGAAAAGCTGGACTAAGTTAACCAGAAACTCTTCAACCTTTTTGCAAACAAAATTCTACTGAGTGGATTTCCATTTTGTGTAAAAGATTATTGATTCCTTCTTTCTGCTGGCAAACTTCCACACCTGGTTCAGAAAATACTACAAAGGATGGTCAGAGTTGCTATCTTAATCATGTCTGCTGCACTGGCAGATAGCCACACTTATATATCCTTATGAAAAATAACATATGAAAATAAAATAAATGTATGAAAAAACCAGAGATTGTGGGCCTGGGATAATGATAGACATGAGACTGTCTGACGGAGAAAACAAGGTTCTAGTACTTAATGCAGCCACTTGCAAACAGATGGCTACAAGGAAAGCGGGGAAAACCCTAATCCAGTCAAGGTAATGCAGCAGATGGTTGGCAGAGATTCCTCTAAATACTATCAGCATTACCTGTTTGGGCTAGATTTATTTCCAGCACATACTCCCAAAATACAACCCTCATTTTCAGAACTAACAGATCAGACCATCTGTTCTTGAAGAAAGATGGTGAGGAATTGCGCGGGTGGATCCCCATAGGTGGTTCTTAGTCGTGTAGGTGTCTTTTATCTGCATATATGGATACTGATGGAATCTGATGTAGATCTTCATTCTACTTCTCATGATGAGTAGCAAGACTGACCATCTGTAAATCTCTTGTAACATTTTCCAAGTCCTTTACACAAGTCTTAACCAGGCAAGTCGCATTTATTAAAAACAGCATGTCAAATAGTTCACAATTATAGACTACATCAATACATATTATGCCAGATGGTAATGAGCCGTCTACAAGGACCTATCCATCCAAAATAATCATACAGATTTCTACAGCATTGTTCAAGAGGTTATGGTTTATTACACAGTACTCATTAGACATACACTGCCACCATTAGCAATTTTCTTCATTTGTATCTCATTTAAGATTCTACTTTCACAAGCAAATTCAAATTAGTACACAAGGTTAAAACCATTATGATCAGGAATAAAATTATCCTGTCTTTTTATGATATGGCAACAGTGGATCAAAGCTCTCTAGTCTATCAAATTTTAAAGAACTAGTCAACTGAGTTTTAAGTACAACAATAGAAATATACTGACCACATATTGTGTCAGATAACTTAAAAATCAGTTAATAGTCAGATTGTTCTAAATAAACATATTTTAAACTAGCAAAAACTCAAACAAGTCATGTTTATTTTTTGTTAAGTGTTATTGTTTGAATACATTCACAGAAAACTAAACAGAAAAAATTAGTGCAGATAAGACAGTATCCTATCTTTATTGGTAGAAGGAGATAATTGAATAGTATATAACTGTTCTATGAAAGAATTGTAGCTTTAGGGACTGTTGAATTTGGCACTCCTGCTTTTATATAG